AAATATAATCTGTTTTAATTTAATTAAAATTATAATTCGTGCTATAATTTATTTGGTATTATATATAAATATATATATATATATATAAGTTAACAATATAAACAATTTCTATTTTATTATGTTCAAATTCAAAGTTTTAAATTTTAAGAAAAGCATTTGAATTCAGTATATAGTTAATAGTGAAAATCATCTATTAATTTTATTTTATATTATTTTTTTATAATTCTTAAAACAAATATATTAATAATCCATTTTCATTACTATTTTTACAGATACGAAAAAAAACATTTTATAAAATAAAATAACTAATGAAAAATAAACATGTAATGACATTTATGAAAAACTTCGAGGATTTTTAATTAAATTTTTAATTTTTAATAATTTTAATTAAACTTTATAATATTGTTTCATGATTTGTATATCTTGAATATATTTAGAAAAAAAAATCGCATTAAAAATAGAGATATTTTTCATTATAATCAAGATAAATTATGAAATCATATAAATTATAAATAAAAATAATCTTACAATTTGATATACATTCAAAAAACAAAAAAATATATATCAAATAAAATAAAAAAAATAGAAAAAAACAATTAAACATCATTGACATAATGATAGATTCTAAAGAAAAATTCGAAGAAAAGTATCTTGCAATTCACCGATGTAAATATTGACAATTTTTATTAAATTGATTTATTTGTACTATTTACTATATATAATATTATACTATATAATACTATATAATATTATACTATAATATAGTAGAATATATAATATTTTTTGTAAGTTATTTTACTACGATATATTTGATCTTATAAGAAAATAACTTATAATATAATGAATTTTTTAATGAATAAATTATTTTTAAATACTTTAACAATTTTTGTTGCGATTATTTTTAAAGTTCTTTTTTACAAGTTTCTAATGAAGAAATAGTAAAATAACTACATTCAATGACACACAAAATAACTAATTTTTTATACTATTATTACTCGGGAATATTTTCATAATTCATAATTATAAATAATCCCATGTATTTTCGTATCTTCTTTTTACAATATTTTAATAAATTTTTGCCTTTTTTAAATCTTCAAACTATAATATTATATATTTAATAAAATATAACTATATGAATATTTATTACGCACATATTTTTGTCAATTTTAAAATATTGCTTTATTTTATGCTTGTTTTAACAATAAATATAAATATCATAATTTTTTTATAAATTATTTTGTAGATTACTAAGAATACATAATTATTTTTTTTTAAATTATATTAATAAATAAAATTCTACAATGTTTTTGAAATTAATTATTGTATAATTACTTTTTATATACTTACACAGTATATATAATTATCAAAATGACTGTTATATATGTGATCATTCAAAAGTGAATTGAAACATTATTTTATTCATAAACATAAATATAAGCAGTAAAATAAAATAAAAGAAATCACATTACATATTTATATATTACATTACATATTAAGTATGAAACATTTTGAAATTAAAGTTTGTAATGTACAATTGAATGAATTTTTTATATAAGATTCAAGCATGTGTATATTTACAATGTTATATTTGCATTATTATTATATATATATATATATATATATATATATATATTATTCTATGAAATATTTATGTTACTTTTATATTACATAATAAAAATTGAGTTTTATATTCGTAATAAATTATTTTATGTATGAGAAGATGAATTATTTAATGTTTTATACAAATATATATTTCTTGTAGCATTCACATATAATTTCATATTATTATCTCATTGATATTTTATATTAAAACAATTTAAAAAAATGATCACGTTGTATTTGACTAACTTCAATCTCCAAATTTTGGAAGACTTTATATATTTTTGGAATTTCAAAAATATATAAAATCTTCCAAAATTTAGAGATTAAATATACAATTTATCAATTAATAAGTTGAAACTAATCACATATGATATAGTCAACATTTTTTAAATAGGTTTACTATGAAATATGTGATATTGTAAGTTTATTTAAAATATTTTTGAAACAATTTATATATAATTGTTTCCAAAAATTAAAATAAGACATCTTCTCATTATATAGGTTTATATAGATGTAAGATTTCTTGTTATATAGTTCTTATAAATACTTATAACTTATGAATTTTTCTGCTTCTAATATTTGAATATTAAGAAAGAAAAAAATATAATTATTTTTTATGATTTTATGGTAGCATATAATAAATAACAAATAAATTTTGTTTATATTTAAATATAAATTTTATTTTCTTATTCGTTGCATTTTATTTCTATATTGGCAAATTTAAAAATTTGTAAATTGATTTGCTCAATAAGATTATTTCACAATATTCCTTGTTTTTTTTTTTTTTATATTTCTCATTTATTTTACATATAAATTTCTTTATATGTTTGTAATACATACTATATTTTTTTGTATGTTTATGATATATGTGCTTGTGAATTATTTTTTTTTAAGCAAGTTATATGATGAGACATTAATTAAATGAAGCAAATAATTTCTAATAATAAATTTATTCTTTAATTTCCAATATTTTCTATTAAAATATACAACAAGATTATTTACAACACTAAATATCAATATTCTGTTTTTCATAATTTCTTAAAAAATCATCAATATTTTTTTAATAGTGACTATATTTTCATTTTTTAATTTATTTTTATTTCTAAATCGATGTATAGAGATTAGGAATATTTAAATCTATTTTTTATATGATATTAAAATTTAATATATTTAATATTAATAATTATTTTTAATTTTAATTTTATTTTATTTTGAAAAATTGAAGCATTTGTTATTAAATATTCTATGCAAAAAGCAAAAATATATATCTTCTAAAGAAGATAATTCAAACTTTTTTCTTATTTATATAATATNTTTTACGCTTTACATTATTTATAAATCAATTATTTTTATTATATTCTTTTTTTTCTTTTCATTTTTTTCGGCTATATTTGCATTTTTTATTTCTTTTATTTTATATATAATGTTTTCTTAAAATAACATCTCGTAAGGACTCATAAAAATTATCAAAAAAATATTTTAACAAAAATGAATTAAAGCAAATATCATATAATAAAAATTTTTTTGCAAATCAAATAATAAGGAAGATTTTAAAATTAACCTAATTTTTTTATTTATTGATTTATTTAGATATTTCACAAAAGTATTATTTTTACATACATCAAAAATATAATAAATATAATAGTTTAGAAAATTATAATTTATAATATTAAAAATTCAATAAAACATATGAAAAACAAAGAACATATGATTGTTTATACTCTCCTTGTCTCTTATATAGTAAAATTTTAAATTTAAAATATTTTTTAAATGTTTTTTTTTTTTTTTTTTACATAAAGTTAATATTTTTTTAAAATAAGAAATATCCGAATTATTCAATTAATGCATTCAAAATTATATAACTCTATTTAAAAAAATAAAAGTGAAATTTCTTATATTATGGAAATAGTATATTACAAATAAATAAAAAATCATAAATAATTTATATTATACGATGTGTTTAAAATCAAATAAGTTTTGTTAAAATATTTTTTAATAATATATATACAATTTCTGATAATTTTAATTTCTCATAAATTTGGTATTAAATTATATTAAAAATTGTTTAGTATAAAAACATTATATATAAATTATTTTTTTATAAATGAATTAAGATAGAATTTAAGATTTAAAAATCAAAATAATTTTTTTAAATGATATTTTTCTACTCATAAGATTGTAGAAAATGAATTCGATGCTATATCATTCCTTGCAGAAAAATCATAAATTAATAGAATCGAAGTTGCATCAATATATATGACTTAACGTAGTTAGCTGAACATTTTGCTTCAAATCATGTAATTTATGTTAAATAATTATTATACCGATTTAATATTTAATTTTTAATAATTATACGATTTAATTTTTAATAATTATACCGATCGATTCAAATTTTATCTAACTACTTAATGTTAATAATGTAGTAAAGATAAAAAATATTAAAATTATTTCAAACATTATAACAATATTAAAATTATTTCATTCATTATTAATATTATGTTATTAATATTATTAATATTATTATTAATATTATTAAAATAATTAATTTTAATTATATTTTTGGCAATAAATAGGTTAAGAGTAATGGACTAATTATAAAAATACTAAAAATATAAAACTAGTTATAAAAATGATTTTATTTTAATAAAATATAATTTTTTCTTATGGAATTATCTGAAAAAGACAGATTTTTAAATAACGAATTATGATCAGAATTATGATCAGAAATTATATTTAATTAAATTATAATTATTCAAGAAAATATATCTGAGAAGAAATATTGAAAAATGTAAAAAAATAATTTTGAAAAAACTATGAATATTATTAAATATATTTAATAATAGTAGTTGAAGGATAAGGTAAATAAAAAACTGATTATTAAATTTTTATTATTATGAGTTCAATAGTGAAAAGTGAAAATTAAAATTCATTATTTAATATTAATGTGAAATAATTTTTAATTTTTTATATTTGCTATAATATCTTTCAATAATTATAAATTTAAATTATAAATTCAAATCAGTCTGACACAAGAAAATAATACAGTTACACTATTTTAAACGACAAAACATTCAATTATACCTGACATATATCGATATACTCAATTTCGATTCTCTTATTTTATGATATGATATAATAAGCCATCTTAATATAATAGAAAAATATTATGAATGGAAAAATATTTAATTAAACAACTTTTGTAGAAGTATTTTTTTGAAAAATATTTTTTGTTCCTTTACGAGATAATTCATCATTTACGTCTAAATGTAATATCCTATATATAATTTTATAATATATTTATATATTTACAGAATATTTTTAGAAAATCAAATAAAAATCAAAACAAATGTAAAAATTAATATATAAAAATATCATTTATTTATTAAGTTTATTATTGTTTATTTATTAAGTTATTTATAAATAAATAATTGAAGTTTACGTTAGACAAAATGAAACAGTTAAAATGATTTGTCTCTGTTATATTATATTTGCGTTTTATTTTATTTAACGCAAACTTAAATTATTTACAATCAATATGTTCTCTAAAAATTATAAGAATTTTATTATTAATAATATATTACAGTATATTATAATAAAATTATAAGAATTTATTAATAATATTTAATAATAAATAATAATCAAATTTAAATTTATGAAATATACATTTTTTATATTAAAGATTATTATATTTTTGAGTCAAATATTTTTTTTAATTTATTTTATACCTTAATAAAAAATATACAGACATTCTAAATTATTGTAAATTAATTAGTGTACATTGTTTCTTTTTTTTTCATTATATGTAAAACTAAATAATCAATTGCATAATTTGCTGTTAAATATAGTTATATTATACAGATTAATCTATAATTTATGATTCGAAATAAAACGAAAATCAAGAAGAATAATGAGAAAGTCCATTTTCGAATAAATCAAGAGTGAAAATTTTTCAAAATACAAATAAAGTTAGCTAATTCTTTCTAAGATATGAATGAATTATTAGATAGAAAGTTATTTTAAATAATATATGAAAATAAACAAAAAATATAAAAAATATATTTTTTTTATTTAAAAATTAGTTTTTAAAGAAATTGAATTGAAAGAAATTGAATTTAAAAAAAAATTCATTAATTTTGATTTTCTTAAAAAACAAAAAGTTAAACGATTTTATTTATTAGATAAAATTTTATTCTGTATTTTTTATTTATTTTTTATATTTTTATAAAATAATGTAGAATATATTGTACAAATGTAGAATAATCATCTATTAATAGTTTATATTCAATTAAGAATTATATAATTTTATTTGTATTTGAAAATTTTTCAAATTTGATTATTAATTCGATAATGAAATATACATGCAATTTCATTATTCTTAATTTTCATTTTATTTTGAATTATAGAATTTTCTTGACTTCATTTATATTATAAATTTCGAATTATGGTATACTATATAATAATAATGTTATACTTATATACTTCTATATATATACTATGATATTTAACTTATTATAAATTAAATATATATATTTATTTATTTATTATATTTATTTATTTGTTAATTCATTCACCAAATATTATTTTTTTTATAAAATATTTCATAGTTATTATTCTTTTTATTTTACATAGAATATAATTGAATATAATGAATAATAATATAACGTAAATTTTATGCCATTCATAAATATATATCAATATAATATAAAATATTAAACGTAATCTATTAAATCAATAAATAAAAATCATAATAAAAAATGAATTTAATTTTTGAATTAATTTTTTTAATAACTTATGTTTTTTTTTTGAAATTATGATATGTTTCAATTTTTATATTCTCATATTAGATTTTTATCTTCTAAATTTATTAAATATTTGTTTTATTATATATATAGTTTTATATAGTTTTTTATATCTTATATAATTTTAATAATAATATTCATTTCATCTTTAAAAAAATTGAATATTAAATAATATTATATGAAAAAATATATTTTATTATTTATTATTAATTATATGAAAAATGTAATAAAATATAATTAAAGAATAAAATAAATATATGCATAAAATATGTTATAATTATATTATAATATATATTATGTTATTATGTTTAAATACATTGAACATTATTAAATATGTAATACTGTTTAAATTCGTATGAAAATAATACATGTAATACTTTTTGATTTTGTTCATAATCAAATTTTCATAGAATAATTTTTTTATATTTTTGAAATTTCTTAAAAATTTAGTGTAATACAATATCTTATGAACTTCAGTATTTTTCAGTAATTTTTTGCTTTATTAATTTATTCTTTTTTTCATAGGTTTATTATGCTAAGAAAAAAAGGAGGGCGCAACAGATGCAAGGAGAAGATGGTTCCCATAAAAAAGAAAGAAAATTGTATAACGATGGTTGGGATGATGATAATCATGATTATATTATCAAGAATGGGGAAAAGTTCCTCGATCGTTATGAGATCGATTCGCTAATAGGTAAAAAAGCTATATATAATAAAAATATTATATATTATTTATTTTTGTTGAATTATCGTTTAAATTTATAAAATATCATATATTTTATTAATTTATTGATTGATAATATATAAATTACCATATATTGATAATAAACCATAACTTGATTTATGATAAATATAAGAAAAAATAGACTTATCTTTTTTTTTTATATTTATCGTATATTTTTATTATTTTTTTTTAATACTTAAAAATTATTTTAAAAATATTTGTAATTCAAAATTAATACAAATATAATTTTGAAGTATTTTTA